GGTCTGGCTTAATATATACATTTATACCAAAATGCGATATTCCTTCAAATGACAAGTTTATATGGAGGTGTGGGATATAGGCAATTAGACAGACCAGTTTCTCCTCCATTTTATTTTCCTCTATCTCAGACACATATGTTAAAATTACATTCCCACATACATTTAACTTTCATGTTGTGATTTGTAACTATTAGATCAAACACAACGAAAGAAAAAGAAGGGAATGCTACTTTTACACTTCTGTACACTTTTCCTCACAGGCTGGTCAAACCTCTACCTGTATGGTCAAACCTCTACCTGTATGGTCAAACCTCTACCTGAATGGTCAAACCTCTACCTGCCAAACAGAAGTTTCGTGCTACTGTTCATAGTTTGCCCTGTTAAGTAAACTGTGGAAATCCATATTCAAATCTCAGTTGTTGCATGTTGATACCCAGTTGAAACCGTTAGTTAAACCAACTGTGTTCCCTATAAGAAACGGACCGCCTCCTTGGTGTAGTGGTTAGAGCGTCCGCCCGGAGAGCGGAAGGTCGCGGGTTCGATCCCCAACCGCGTCATATCAAAAGACGTTAAAATATGGTACTTGTTGGTCCCTGCCTGACGCTCGGCATTAATGGGTACAACAAGGACTGGTCGGCTCGGAGTCAGTATAATGTGTCTGAGTGGGGTATTCATGCTTCAGTGCGGCATGGTATCTCAGTGGGCTAGCACTATAAAACCAGCTTAAGCCTGGGCTAGTACAAGCAGCCGCACATACACATACACATACACACGCATGCACGTCGTCATATGAGCGAAATATTCTCAAGTACGACGTAAAACCCAATTTCACCTCACCTCACCCTATAAGAAACAGCAAAGAGATGTGATATATACTGAGTCAAAAAAGAAACTTCACATTCTTTCTTCAGGGCACTATAAAAGAACAAGAGATGGTAAGATGGTTAAATTGTTATTATTTCATTGCTGAGATCTGTGTGATGTACTCGATACACTGACAGTGCCATAATCAGTTCCATTAGGCTACACCGCCGTTCCAAAACATGGGTATACAGAATGTCAAGTCAAGAATAAAAATGCGAAATTTCTCAGTTCAATATCGTGTATGGCCGCCCCGCGTATTCACCACTGCCAAACACCGTCTCCTCATCGACTGCCTGATGCTTGTGAACACGTGGTTGGGGATTCTGCGCCATTGCTCTTGCAAGGCAGCGCCAAGTTCCTGCAAATTCTAAGGTTGGTTCCTAAGACCACGAAGCCTTCTCCCAAGTGCATCCCAAACGTGCTCTATTGGATTAAGGTCAGGGGACCTCGATGGCCAGTCCATGACGTTGATTCCAGCGTTTTGAAGGAAATTTCGTGTCAACATCGCGGTATGCGGCCGAGCATTATTATGCTGGAACTGTAGACCTGGGCCATGAGCCGCCATGAAAGGAACGAGTTCAGGGGTGAGCACCTGGTCGCGGTAAGCAGCAGCTGTGAGGTTTCCACGGATGACCAGAAGTCGGGAACGGTTGTTCCCACAGAAAGCACCCCACACCATGCAACTTCCGCCCCCGAATCTGTCGACTTCCTGTACACAACATTGGGCATACCGTTCACGACGTCGTCTCCAGACTCTATGCCTGCCGTCCGCGAATCTGAGGGTAAACCTGGATTCATCGCTAAAGACGACTCGATTCCAGTCTCTCTGGTTCCATCGGAGGTGACGTTGGGCCCACAGCAGACGTTGAGGTTGATGAAACGGCGTCAATATTGGCCTACGATATGGACGTCGAGAATGGAGATTGGCAGCCCGCAACCGATTTCGAATGGTCTGTGAGGACAGTCGACCTCTAAACATCTCAGCCCTGGTTCGTGTAGCCGGCAGAAATCTGTCACGTAGGTGACGTAGGACGATTTGACGGTCTTCTGCTCGTGACGTCACACGTGGACGACCCGACCTTGGGCGATCAGAAGTGGTGCCAGTTTGTTGTAGACGACCTCGCAAGTCATACACAGTACGACGGCTGCATCCCATTGCTCTTGCGAGGTCAATAACTGATCTTCCCGCTTGCAACATGCCAACGGCACGTTCACGTTACACATTTGACAATCGTGGCATTTCAAGTACCGTTAGAACTGTGGTTTAAAAGTGTTTTTTCAATTCTTGAGGCCAATGCAAACGCGTGCATATGAAGAAAACTTCGATGCGAAGATCACGCGATCGATTGCACGTGCAAAACCTGATTTGGCACTAACGTCATTTGCACGACGAATGGATGGGTTTGAGTGGGTTTTGCTAACGTTTTTCTAGAGTCGAAAGATAGGGATCCCATTTAGGATACATAGATGTATCATCAGAGAAAAATTATTCATTATGTTTCAAATTACATTTTGTGAAGTTTCTTTTTTGACTCAGTATATTTAAGTATAAAAATCACTAAAAGGAATTACAGACAGTGCAGGCTTGAGGTGCAGTACAAATACCATGGCAACATTATATATTAAACTGCTGCGAGCTGGTCATCTTGTAAAGTGAGATCCATAATGAGATGACTGAATGAAAAGCGCGCTCATTATACACAGAGTAATTATTTGGAGCTTTCCATAATATTCTGGGTTAGACTATGCTGAAAAGGCTTAAAGGACACCAATGCACCAAGGACGAAAGTCAGTGAGTACACGTGAGAGTAACTCCAGTCTAATTCAAATCCATGGATGATCATACATGCATGTATCTGTACGCTAAGCGTGGGTGTAGATAAACCGTGTTCTCTCCAATGAATCAGCAGAGATGCAATGTCATGATCTCGTCATCTTGCCACATGATATGTATCGTGTATTTGAATTTGTGATTGACGAGGTCCAGTGTACATCTCTCCTGAAACAGCTAACATCCGTAATTGCATCATTTACACACCTATACGTATTAAGTTTTAATACTGCATTATTCCTGTCGAACTAAGTTTAATTTGTTGTTGAAACTTCAGATACAGTTAACAGAATGAAAGGTTGTTTTACTATATACAAGTGTGAGCCTTCTTCCTTGGCTTCTGTAGTGGTCGTGGTGAAAAATGGTATTCGAACCCCTTGGAGCAAATGGTTGTGTTGTCATTAATGGAACGAAGTTTCTTGTGAAGTTTGGGGAGTTCTAGCTATATTTCCGATCCAGATTCCAGGAAACTTGGAATTACCAGGCTGGCAGAAGGGCACATTAGAATGTATTCCAACTAATATGACACGGTTTGCATTTTCATAGACTTAGGAATCTATAGGAACAGGAATGTGTAGATTTGAATTCCTTATGTGACACCCCTTTAACATATATTTCAAAGCTGCATGCTAATTGTTGGATCTGCTTCAATTCCATCATGTAAACTGTAATTAGATCGAAGGGGCCGAAATTTCAATGAGGAAATGGTACACCACATATTGTCCGTGTTCATTCAGTCCCTCTAAATATTCGCTGCGGGATGAATTAAATATCAAAATGATTGTTAAATACATGCTACAAGTGACTTTTCCCAATCGGAATGCACCTCTCTCTGATTGGCTGAGGTAATTGTGAAACAACGCCCACCATTACCGGAGCCTGACATGAATGAAAGGCTAAATGGTCTTCTCATCAATAGCATACTCTAGGGTGCACTTCACATTGTAAACAGCGTTTTTAGTTTCATACTGGTACGAAGTAACTGGGTTAGCTGCCTATCCATATCTTACCACTGTGATTGTTTGTGTTTACAGTCAACAGAAAATGCGAAGCGAATTTAATGAAAACGTCACGTGTGACCTCATACACAGGGTTTGATACAAATACACACTCTTCCAATAACCGAACTTAGTTCATAATTCAGCAAGTCATGCTTGTAGTAAGAGGCGGCTATCAGGATCGGGCGGTCAGGCTCGCTGACCCTGTTGACGCATGTCATCGTATCCCAACTCCGTAGATCGATGCCTGGGATGTTGATAACTGGATTGTCTGGTCCAGACTCGATTATATACAGACCGCCGCCTGGGATATTGGTGAGAGCAACGTTAAAACAACAAACAACCAACAACAAATGTACAGAAGGTTTGCCGACCGAGTGCCCTTGAGTGAAAGGTGAAATGTCTCTCGAGCACTGCACCTGTCAGTCATGGATCAGCATAAAGATGGTGTTAATGAATGAAGCAACTATTCTTTAACGTGGAGCAAACATTTCACGCATCAACTCAGTATATATGGCTTCTCTCGCTCAGACATTGACGTCAAGAGCTGCGTATAATATGGTAAATCTGAGGATGTGCGCTTTAAAACTGAGAAAGAAATCGTTTCTGTAAGGACACCTTTAATTGTCATCACTGCTGTCCTGCAACCCTTTTTGAATGTCTCCAATATATTCCAGATGAGTATACTTATGTATGAACCTAAGGGAAATTTAACAGCTTCTATCGGGTATACTTCTGTCGGTATTCCAAGGCTTGAAAGGTCCTCATTGTCTCACGAAAGCAGACAGATTAGGATAAGAAAACTTATTTTCCCCCGACACGTGTAAACGCACACACAGACATAATACACATACGCGTAAACTCGCACTTACGCACGCACGCAAGCACACACAAACACACACATGTGCACGCGTTAATTATGATAAGAGGTTTGACATTCCATATATGTTCTACATTTGTTCTGGTCATCGTGAGATTTACGATTACTTACTTAGTTACAATTTGGGACTGCGATTTTATGTGTATATTGCAAATGGTCTTTCGGGCTTTAATATTTCATACAAATGGGCCACAGAATGTTTGGGATGTATTTAACAAAACGTCCCTGATGTTTTAGCATCGCATCCATTGTTCTACGAGTAGCATCACTAAATCATTCTTTTCTCTATTATAAGAAATATTGTTCAGCAAGTAGAAACGCTGTTAATGCCATTTCCCGCCATGAATACAGACACTCCTTAGTTAGATACAAGTGAGAGCTCTCATCGATTTCTACCGTTTCAGATCGAGCTGGCAGACCTCTGAACGAATGTGGGCATCACAGCATGGTAACAGTTGCGTGTGTATCATGAAACAATTTCGTATTCTCCATTGTGTTAACTTGGAGTGTGTGATTACAAGGACGGGACACAAGCAATACTTCTGTCGTAGCTAAAGACCTACAGTTTTTCATAACGTGGCATCAAATCAGATGATGATGAAATGGCTACAGTGTGCATCGAAGTCGATACCTTCTTCTCTCACGCCCTAGCTTAATTCTTCCTTCTGCTACACTTGGGGCAGTATTACACGGACGATTTAACTGAAGGAGGTTTGGCTCCCGACATCGACGAGAGAAAACGTCTCGCACCGTCCTTGTCTGGTCTGCTGTTCGCGTTCTGCTGATGGGATGTATACACAACAGAGAAGCGAGCCTCGGGGATATAATACTATTTTACTGCGTTCCATTTAAGCAAATTTCGGAGGGACGGTATCGTGCTGAATTGGATGTAAGTGATTCTTAATGAAGGTAAACTATCCGGGATATCCAGCAGTTGTTTGCTGTCGAAATTGTTAGTGCATCGAGTTTGAGATTCCTACCACAAGCTTCTTCTGAGTTCATCTGAATATGAGGATCGATATCTTCCCCGGCGATATGATCCCTCAAATAGATGTTTTGTCATCTTCCGTAACGTGCTTCTCTTAACAAAGATTGTGCCTAGGATTGTGAAATTATGAAACCAAGCAGACTATCTTTGATATGCTTTTATTTCTCTTCATCCAAACGAAGGTGCAAGAATATTGTGGTTTGATTTCGCCCTTGACTACTGTTGTCTGTAATGAATTGATGACATATGTGCGTTATCACTGGATACCTTCTATTCGACGTGTTGTTAAAGATTTGGTTAATGTGTATTTAGGACACTGCAAACATAAGTACATGATCTACCTGCAGCTTAATTCCACGGAATGTTCTGTTCTGGAGCATAATGCTATGGAAAATGAAACGTTCCTTAACTGTACTGATATGAGAATGAAACACCCTGCTGTTGGGGTATTTCTGTCATGCTTTTCATTCATTACTATAGCTGGTAATATTCTGGTAATAGTTGCAGTATCAAAAGAGATATACCTCCGTACTGTGACTAATTATTTTATAGTGTCTCTTGCTGTGGCTGATATGATGGTTGGCGGAGTTGTGATGCCATTCAGCATTAGCCACGAGATGACCAATCAGGTGTGGCTATACGGAGCTGAATGGTGTGACCTATGGCACTCCTTAGACGTTCTGGCAAGTACAGCTTCCATCCTAAATCTATGTGTTATTTCGCTGGATAGATATTGGGCTATAACAGATCCAATAGCTTACCCGAGTAAAATGTCAACATGTAAAGTGTGTCTATTGATCACGTTTGTGTGGCTCTGTTCAGCGGGAATTTCATTCCCAGCTATTGCTTGGTGGAAAGCAGTGATGCCTGCAGATCTGTCAAAAAATGAATGTATTTTCACAGATGACAGTGCATATCTCATATTTTCTTCCATCGTTTCTTTCTACGCCCCAACAATAGTGATGATGTTCGTCTATGGCAGAATATACTTAGCTGCAGTTGAGCAATCTAAAGGATTAAAAGAAGGAAGCAAGACAACATCAAATGGACTTCGAGATGGAGAAGTGATGACCCTTCGAATTCATAGGGGAGGTGCCAGACGTCTCCACGATGAGCCAATGCAAATAGAACGTTCCACCAGTGACAGTGAGAGCGATAGTCCTTCTCATATGTTACGTCATCCGAATAACACAGAATCCCACCATGGGACACAGAGACAGCCGAAATTCATCACAAAACGACTTCGCCATTTTGCAATCAGCAAAAAATTAACCAAGCTGGCACGCGAACAAAAAGCTGCCAAAACTCTTGGAATAGTAGTTGGTGTGTTCACAATGTGTTGGCTGCCGTTTTTTGTAACTAACGTCTTATTTGGACTTTGCCATACTGACTGTGTACAATCGCCAGAGATACTTTTTCCAGTATTTACTTGGCTGGGATACATCAACTCCGGGATGAACCCAATCATATATGCATTATCTATGCGAGATTTTAGGCGAGCATTTGGTAAACTCATATTCATTTGTTGTCCAAAATACCGTTATAGGAACCGTAAACGACAATATCATCATAACAGTATGTCAACTTCAAGCTTTTCTGTCAATTGTGGGGACCGCTGTGTGGCTCTCAAGATTTAACGGGTTGAACTTGTGTATTTCTGTGTAAATAGACGTGTATGGTAAGAATAACTTGGACTGAATAAACCGTTAGAAGTTATACATGAATATCTAACATATATCTTATAGATATATTGCTGTCTGTTTTTATACGTGTTTCATTTGCTCAATGACGAAGTGTTGAATAATAATCTAGCTCACATATTACATAACCAGTGTGCTTACGATGAAAGAACTTTTGTTAAACATCGAATTTAACAATAGCTTTTACCATCAAATGTCTGCTGTAAGAACGGATTCTTACGTCACTTTAGTAGTCAACGGGGAATGCTTATCGCCCACATGTCCACCTATCGACATCTAACAACCCATAATGTATATATTTCATTGCAGCTGATAATGGTAGTTAGACGCGAGTTTAGACAACTCGTAGAGACAGCTATCGCCTGCCAGTGTGTTCAGCAGCTCAACATAACAAGTGCTTGCACGGGAGCGTTGATGTGTGCTAAGGGATGAACCTCAATTCCCACTAGCACACATCAACCAGTAGTCTTTGATTTGTAGTTAACCTATGACAGCAATAACTAGATAATGTGAATGTATTTTTTTATCTGATCGGATTAATTTTCCAGAAGACGAGAATAGTATGGACGTGATAAATGTTAATCATGTGCAGTTAATTCATAAATTATTTCAAATAATGGAATGAATTCAAATAAAGTGTTGTCAGAAAACACACTGATCATCGACACAGTAAAAGTTGTTTGCTTTCTTGAATTAGTGCGTGGCAGACGGAACCCACATCATTATTTGTACACATAATGCAAATACCCAGAATACCAAAATACCGCTCAAGAGACTTACAACAGACCCTTATAATGGCAATTAAAGAGACCGATTTGAACGTTTTAAATGCCACAGCCTGCTGGGTACACTAATGTATTTTGAGAATACTTCTTTATGTTAGTGTGTACAGGATTGAACAGTGTTACTATGCTGTTTCAGAAAGCGTTTGTTTTCAGAATCTTTCTGAAATCTACACAATTATGTGGTAATGTTTACAATGAATAATTCTAAGTATATATGATCATCCGAACCAAATATTCTGATCTAAATTAATATTATGTAGATCTTTCTCCTTGTTAAGAAAACTATTGATGTTAAACATCGGGAAAGGGCCCAAACATCTTTACAGATGTGATTAAAGTATTCTCTTCAAGGAAATAGTTAGTTTATTCCTATTACAACCAGCTGATACAAACAAAGAACTAACCTACCCAAACCACCTTTAAATTTATTATTTGCATTGTAAACACAGATATTTTTTCTCCAGTCTTTTCTAAATGCCGATCAATACTTCGGTGCCATCATTATGAAGACCATCAGATTCGGCTGCATGATTCGAGGTACTGGTGGAATCCAATCGTTATATATGAAGTATTTTGATTCGTAGTTATTTGCATTAACAATGCGATATCACTTTATTCACTGTTTTATTCCTATGTAAAATGATGCATCTGCCAAATATGCTCAGTAGAATGAATACTAAATCTTTAGTTTATTCTAATATTACGTCTCTGTGGGTCAGGATTATATATATTTTATCTGTCAATATCTGTTGTGTGGATCGAGTGGATGGATACAAGTGAATGAAAGCAACGTTTAAAACATTGGAAGTTTATTCAAGTAAAACCGTGAGTTTTCTTATTTTATATTTCAGAGCACTGGTTTCTCTATGTTGGGTGTAAGAAAGAGTTCGTGTCACGCTATCTCGGTGTGAAAAAGGATTGTGTGCGAAGATTTGACAGATTTTGTAAACGGGGTCGTAATTTCATTTTTTTATGAATAAAGTCTTGGACAAGAGATTCATCGATTATTAAAATAGAACTTATATTTGAAGTTTTCCTCGGAATGAAATCCTACATTCAACGCTCCATCCAAGACTTCGCATACTTTATATAAAATGACATCTTTTCAAATCACAGAAAGTACCACTACAGACAATTTAGCAAAGGTTATCTCCCTCCCCAAAAGGCATTAATACTTTCACTCGCAGTCATATTTGTTCTCGGGAGGTTTATCTGAAGCAGCATGGTATCCACAGTGACTGCCAGTTTGGACTGAAGGTAAAGGTTAGACTTGGTGGTCATTTTGTACACTTTTTGTAATACCCAGCTTGTCTGTTAAATTAATATTTAGCCTTGAACCTGTTATATAATATAATAGTTATTTGGTGTTACTTAACAATATGGAATTATACCTACCTCAACAGAGATTTTATTAAGTTTTGGACTGAAACTTAGTATATGGAAAGCCAAAATGTTCAGTACTAACAGTATGATAACACTTAGCTTGGCGATCCGGGAACCACCCCAGTGAGGTACCCGTATTTGTAATACGCATCATGCATCTGTGAAATGTTTACTTCCTCAGTTCGTTTCCGAACGTTCTCAATACGTTTACCTGTATGTTTCCCCGTGTGCTTATGTGCTACACATATGGTAGCTGATCATTTGGCACTATATAACTCATGGACACCTGCATTGTAATGTTTCGGTGTTTCTATGGTTACTTAGGTGAGCGAAAATATGTATTTTTCATGGATTTATTGAAGAAAAACGTGATAACGCTTCAAGAAATACATCTGGAAATACGTATATATTAAATACACAGTATATAGTGTCTGCTTCCATGTAGCACATTTACATCACATAAACGCATTGGGAAATAATGTTTTCTGATAGCACAGTCTGTTTCATGAAGCTACTACGTATTAGATATGGTTACTGCTGCAGAAAGTGAATTCAGTACAATTATTGTCAATTAGAGATGCAGCAACAGAAGTGACTTAATTGCGGCAAGACGAGTAGTAGTTGATCCATACTATCATCAGTGCGTACATCTAGGTCAAACCTCGCCGGCGTATTGTCTGTTTAAACAAATGTTTAGTTTGGTTTGATCCACCATAATAGAGCATGTTCCTAGTACACTATTTTCACGGTAAGTTATTCATAAACTGAATGGAAATAATAATAATTATTGTTTGGTTGTGTCGAACTTCTGATAACTCGAAGTATTTACTTATTCCCCTTCAACTTCGACACAATGGTGTTTGTTATGTGAATATTTGAACCGAAATGAATTTTCAGCGATAAGGCCCTTCAGTTTCATATACACATATGGCACCAGGCTTCTATATTTCATATGGTTCATTCTGACGCATATACACACATTGCACCAGGCTTCTATATGCCATATGGTTCATTCTGAATATTTTTACACACATGGCACCAGGCTTCTATAGGCCATATGGTTCATTCTGACGCATATACACATATGGCACCAGGCTTATATAGGCCATATGGTTCATTCTGACGATTTTTACACACATGGCACCAGGCTTCTATATGCCATATGGTTCATTCTGACGATTTTTACACACATGGCACAAGGCTTCTATAGGCCATATGGTCATTCTGACGCATATACACACATGGCACCAGGCTTCTATATGCCATATGGTAATTCTGACGCATATGCACATATGGCACCAGGCTTATATAGGCCATATGGTTCATTCTGACGATTTTTACACACATGGCACCAGGCTTCTATAGGCCATATGGTAATTCTGACGCATATACACATATGGCACAAGGCTTCTATATGCCATATGGTTCATTCTGACGATTTTTACACACATGGCACCAGGCTTCTATAGGCCATATGGTAATTCTGACGCAGCACAAAGCACATTCAGGGTTTGTCATAAGTCCAACTTCGTCGGTTATCGTCAACTTGCTTCGGGTGGATTGCCAGAATGTATTTCTTCCATGGTCAATGTTTTTTCAGTATAATTATGCTATACTGTGATTAATAGATATTCTGTGAAATGGATACCGTACCGGTTCCCGAATTTCTAAGATCAGTCCTATTTGAGGTCGAAAGAGCTATGCTCACGGACTTTCATTACCTTATTAACAAGCAAATACTTCAGTGAAGATGCCTACAAGTCAGGCAGACAACTTGTATTAAGAGGTCGACAGGCGATGTATTGAAGTCAGCCTAGCGCGTCCATACCAATCAGTAGATGGGCTAACTGGAAATGACTGGATAGCCTTTCAAAGCAACACAATTAACTTTTAATCTCATGAATGTTTCCTGAAAAGATAGTTAAGTGGTAAGAGGTGAGGTGAGGTGAAATTGGGTTTAACGTCGTGCTTGAGAATATTTCGCTCATATGACGACGTGCATGCGTGTGTATGTGTATGTGTATGTGCGGCTGCTTGTACTAGCCCAGACTTTAGCTGGTTTTATAGTGCTAGCCCACTGAGATACCATGCCGCAGTGAAGCATGAATACCCCACTCAGACACATTATACTGACTCCGAGCCGACCAGTCCTTGTTATACCCATTAATGCCGAGCGCCAGGCGGGGACCAACAAGTACCATATTTTAACGTCTTTTGGTATGACGCGGTCGGGGAATTAAGTGGTAAGGGCACAGTTGCGTGCATTAACGAAGGGTGCACGAATACATTTTCGACATGAAACTTGAACGGATTGAAGACCATCAATCGTCACTAAATATTTCCTCACATACAGCATGGACTGTTTGACGTACATTTTATAAAGTTGCCGATGACAATGTCTGACCTGCCTATCCTCGCCCACTGGTCATTCATATATCGCTGCACATACACAAAAAATAATTTCGTTCGAACAATTAATATGCATTTTGTATGAATGACGCATAATATCATAAAATTATATTAGCTCATAATCACAAAATACGAATTTGAAGCAAACACACGTTTTAAAAAAGAAATCACCTCAACTGTGACGGGTAACAATCCTTCCAGAAGGATTGCACAAAAAGGAGTCAAGTATAAATAGTACTTGTAGCATATAGAGGTACGTAAACCAGGAATGTTCCCATAGATGATACTGCCTGCCATCTAATGATCAGGTCGATATAACGTTCAGCATTACAGCATTCCCATGTCCTGGGCTAATATTATTGAAGACAGCTAGGTGCCCCAATCATAACCCTAATAACACAACCCCATGCGTCGGTTTGCAAACACATTCATTATCATA